TATATATATATATATATATATATATATATATATTTGCTATAAACAAAACCGGACTAAAGGAATGAAAAAAGTTAATTTCTGCTGCTATACTTTTCTTGCTTTGTTTTCTCCTAGTAATCTTGAAGTACATGTTGCTTCAGTTTCACATGGTATTCGAGCAGCCAGGTTTTGATTCCAATGTTGCTGCTTTGCTAATATCTTCCTCTTAAATTCCAGTTTCTTTCTTTACTTAAAGTCAATCTCAATAAGCTATGAGTCTCGATTCTTCTACTAATAATCCTCTCCCTTCTTCTCAATCTCCCATCAAAATGAGCAAGATCAAAATACCCCCTCAATTTAAGTTTCTTATGATCAATGTCAAATTGGTCGTCCATATTCAACTCAATGTTTATAATTATCCTCTTTGGAAGACTCAAGTGCTTAAGTTGTTCACAATAATTGGGTTCGATGGCTACCTAGATGGTTCTACACCTTAATCATAAAAGAAAATTACCAATGAGGCTGATGAAATCATCCCTAACCCACATTATCAAACTTGGATACTTGTGGATCAAAACCTTACAGCGGCAACATATTCTGTAATTTCTCCAAATCTTTTGTCCTGCATTTTGAATTTGGAGTCCTATGTAGAAATTTGGAAAACAATAGAAAGGAGACTTCAATCTACGAATTGATGTTGATTACTTCAATTGAAGAAGGAATTTCTCATATATCCATGAAGGATAAAACAATGTTCCATTATCTTTCTGAAATCAAGAGTAAATGCAATGTAATCGCAATTTCGGCTCTTCGTTAGACATTGAAGACGTGATCATCTACACGCTAAATGTGTTACCTTCTCATTATCAATCCTTCACGACTACCATTCGCATCAACCTTCTGCCGATTAGTTTAGATGATTTCTATGCATTGCTATGTAGTGAGGAACTAAATCTTTGCGGCTAAATCTGCCCGCGAAGGGTCCACTTGCACATCTTCTAATCCACAACTTGCTCTTGCTACTTCTCATGGAAGAGATCATTTGCATTTCTACTCCAATGGAGAGGACCCTCTTGATTTCCTACGCTACCTACAAGTTATACTCTGACTTCTAGCAGTGATCGAGCACATCTACTCTACTCAAACGACTTCTTCGTTACATCAAAGGAACACAGTTAGTAGGCATGCTAATTCAGCCTACTTGATCATGTCAACTTTTTGCATTTTCATATTCTAATTAGGCAGGAGACCTTGCAGGTCGTAAATTTACAACTGAATATTGTGCATTTCTAGGGCATGATCAGATTTCATAGCAAGTTAAGAAGCGAAAGATTGTAGCTCGTTCTTCCACAGAGGCTGAATATCGCTCTCTAGGCTGCTGCTGATCTACTATGACTAAAACGACTCATGCTTGAATTTGGCATGTCCCTTCCCAATTCTACATAATTGTTTTGTGATAACATCTCAGCAATTGCCCTTACAAATAATCCAATCTTTCGTGCTCGTATAAAACATATTGAGATCGACTTTCACTTTATTAATGATTAAGTTAAGAATAAAATAATTTCTATAGATCATGTTAACTCGGTCGATTAGATCGCTGATGTATTTAACAAACCTTTATCCATCAAAACCTTTCAACAGCTTTGACACAATCTAACACTCATCGATAAGAAGATGATAAGCTAACATGCTAAGCGGTTGCATTTGCTCAGCTACAACTGCTTACTACTTCTGTTTTACAGCAGCACCGTTGAGCAACTGATTTAAAATCCTACCATTTATTGTATTGCCTATTCTCTTTATACATAAGGGCACTTTCTCTCTTGATATTTGACAAAAAATTTATATAACTATATATAACAAGAAAATTATATATATATATTGATACGCCATGCGAAAATTATCTTGATCAGGC